CAGAAACATTTAGAGGTATGTCACTCCAAATTCCGATTAGGATAAGCTGAGTTATGGACTTTAGAACTTCAGTCATGGGACAGTTTTGATGTTCTACAGCATCATCACATCAGAAAAATGACAAAAAAAATACAAAAAAAATTTAAAAAAATTAAATTCTAAATTTGAATGCAGATTTTTAGAGAATTGCTCCAGAAACATTTAGAGGTATGTCACTCCAAATTCCGATTAGGATAAGCTGAGTTATGGACTTTAGAACTTCAGTCATGGGACAGTTTTGATGTTCTACAGCATCATCACATCAGAAAAATGACAAAAAAAATACAAAAAAAATTTTAAAAAATTAAATTCTAAATTTGAATGCAGATTTTTAGAGAATTGCTCCAGAAACATTTAGAGGTATGTCACTCCAAATTCCGATTAGGATAAGCTGAGTTATGGACTTTAGAACTTCAGTCATGGGACAGTTTTGAGGTTCTACAGCAATCACATCAGAAAAATGACAAAAAATATACAAAAAAATTTAAAAAAAATTAAATTCTAAATTTGAATGCAGATTTTTAGAGAATTGCTCCAGAAACATTTAGAGGTATGTCACTCCAAATTCCGATTAGGATAAGCTGAGTTATGGACTTTAGAACTTCAGTCATGGGACAGTTTTGATGTTCTACAGCATCATCACATCAGAAAAATGACAAAAAATATACAAAAAAATTTTAAAAAAATTAAATTCTAAATTTGAATGCAGATTTTTAGAGAATTGCTCCAGAAACATTTAGAGGTATGTCACTCCAAATTCCGATTAGGATAAGCTGAGTTATGGACTTTAGAACTTCAGTCATGGGACAGTTTTGATGTTCTACAGCATCATCACATCAGAAAAATGACAAAAAAAATACAAAAAAAATTTTAAAAAATTAAATTCTAAATTTGAATGCAGATTTTTAGAGAATTGCTCCAGAAACATTTAGAGGTATGTCACTCCAAATTCCGATTAGGATAAGCTGAGTTATGGACTTTAGAACTTCAGTCATGGGACAGTTTTGATGTTCTACAGCATCATCACATCAGAAAAATGACAAAAAAAATACAAAAAAAATTTTAAAAAATTAAATTCTAAATTTGAATGCAGATTTTTAGAGAATTGCTCCAGAAACATTTAGAGGTATGTCACTCCAAATTCCGATTAGGATAAGCTGAGTTATGGACTTTAGAACTTCAGTCATGGGACAGTTTTGAGGTTCTACAGCAATCACATCAGAAAAATGACAAAAAATATACAAAAAAATTTAAAAAAAATTAAATTCTAAATTTGAATGCAGATTTTTAGAGAATTGCTCCAGAAACATTTATAGGTATGTCACTCCAAATTCCGATTAGGATAAGCTGAGTTATGGACTTTAGAACTTCAGTCATGGGACAGTTTTGAGGTTCTACAGCATCATCACATCAGAAAAATGACAAAAAAAATACAAACAAAATTTTAAAAAATTAAATTCTAAATTTGAATGCAGATTTTTAGAGAATTTCTCCAGAAACATTTAGAGGTATGTCACCCCAAATTCCGATTAGGATAAGCTGAGTTATGGACTTTAGAACTTCAGTCATGGGACGGTTTTGAGGTTCTACAGCATCATAACATCAGAAATATTACAAAAAAAAATACAAAAAAAACGCCTAAAAACTGATTGAATTGTTCCCTGGCAATGGCTTATACATGATACTTTTCAGCATAAGTCTTGAATGGAAATTTAAAAAATGAATTCATTCAGAACGCGTTTTAATGGAAATTTCTCGGTGACGACGCCATTCCATTTGTTCCCCCTCTTTAAAAGAAAACTTCACACAAAAAGGGATAAAATGGGATGAAGTTCGAGCCAGACATGCGAACAGAGTCCCTTCGATCTGGGGGCATAAAGATGCACAGATCCCCAAATGGCATTACGATTCGACTTTGCCCTCGCGCCTGGCGTCAGCTGTCTTTTCCTCAGTCTTCAGCCTTCTTTCTTCTGCCTTCAGTCTGCAGTCTTCAGTCTACAGTCTGCAGTCTGCAATCCTCTGTCTGCAGATTGCAATACGCTATCGCTATATGTATATGCGAGATACAATGCTGGCTCGTCTGGGAGGCCACCAAAATAGATGGAGTCAAAAGAATTTCCAGCCTATGTCAACGTTGCTCGCGATGGGGAGAGACGTTCTGGCATTCTGTTTACCAAAATAGACCGACAAATGTTCCCCAATCCGAAAACGGGACTTTAAGGCGTTGTGCAGTGAGAAAAAATAGTGACAATTGCGCGCATTTAATTGTAAACTAATCAACCATGAATACAGAATCTCATATTTCATATCTCATATAAATTCTCAGATGATAAAATTCAATATCGACATAGTTTTTACTATGTGAAAATGTAGTGTATGCCGCTGTGTGCTGCAACTCCAAAATCAATCCAAGGTACTTCACGCATTTTCTCGCTGTGCAGTATCCTATGCCGCTGCCTCCGTGCTCCCCACGAGATTTTCGCATTAAACATGTCAAACGCTCGTCTCGTCGGCTGCAATTAATAAAGGTGCTACATGGATGCGACTGGGGATGTAAATGGAATGGAAATGACTGGATCAGGCGACCGAGTTGTCTGCCCGGAGTCTTAAAATAGATCTACACATCTAGAGTTCTATCCCCCGAAGCTCCCATATCCCGGATCTTGCATTTTCCAGACTTTCGCCTGGCGTGTTAATTTGTCCCGGCTTTTCCACTATAAGTGGGTAGGAAAATCCCAGATCCGTAATACCCCCGTCCACAAATTACGCCCCCTACACGATGGCATTTCTTGTTATTTATTTGCCGCGTCTGTTTGTCATTTGGTACTCGGTATTTGGTGTTTGGTACTCGGATTTTCCGAGGGTTGCGACCAAACAAAGCGAAATGGGGAAGTTGGACACTTTTTTTTATCGCCCAGCGCGAGGGCAACATTTTTCAATGTTTTCTAGGGGGTTTGGGCTTTATGTGTGTGTATGTACCTTGGCGAAGGGGCGCGACGATTATTGATCTTTAGCCAGAAGTTTGCTGCATTTCCGTGGCTATTTTGGGGCACCCGGGGAATACACAATTGAAACACTTCCGTTAATGCATTGATATCACGTGCGAGGCCATGTTGACAATCTGATTTCCAGATCCTCCAGTGGGGGGACCCACTATTCGGGGTGGGCCCCGGTGCTTCTTTGAAGATCGGGAAGAGTTAAAGGAAGTTGGGGGTGGGCGGTCGGTTCAGGAATTATGAAAGTATTTGGGGAGTGACAGCGTGCTGGTTAGGGGGGGGGGGGGGGGGGGGGGGGGGGCTTTTAAGCACTACCTTTCGGAAAAAAGCGAGAAACTTGGGGAGCAATTTTGTTTTTCAGATATCATGGCATAGAATAAAATGTTGAATAAAATTAAGTAACAGTATGAAGTAACAGTAGGAAGTAACAGTATGAAGTATCAGTATGAAATAACATTATGACGTAACAGTATACATTAACAGTATGACGTAACATTAACTCCTCAATACCCATTAACCCATTTTTTAATAATTATACAAAATATTTGCAATTCAATGTAATCAATTATCTAACAATTATCTTATCACTTACCTCACTTTAATAGTTGGAACTGATTTTGAAGTATATATGAAAATTGGACTTTTCACCCACATTTTTTTATTATCACATCATTATTTTATATTTACTTCAACGCACATTTTAAACATTTTAGAATTGATCACAAAAAAAAAACAAAAAGAGAACAAAATTGCGCAATTTCATTTGAAATTGCAAGCACACTTACATGCGCCTTTATGCACACACACACACTTGCGATAGGGGAGGCCAAAAGGCAACTTTCGGAGCGGCATTTGCAAAAACCGCCGTTTGAAACGAATAAACGCCAAATATCGAGTGGAAATTACTTCAACGAAGCGCGATCACTACTTACAAGCCCTTTACACGAGTTTTTTACAATTTACATAAAAATTAGTTGAAATGATGCTATTGCACAGTAGAAATAAGCGTGGTGCGCGCAAATAAATAACGGAGAACCAAAAGAGGAGAGCGAAAAGAGTGATGCTAACGGCAGGTGGTCGCCGCTTTCGCATTCCTTTTTTTCGGTTGCTCCTTTTTTTGATCTTTTCATTACTTGAAACGCTTTAACACACACTTTACTTGCTAAAGTAATGATCACAACAACAACAAAAAAAAGGAAAAAAAAAAAAAAACGCATTTTACTTTCAAATTGCAAGCACTTTGCACACGTGCTTACATATATACATATGTTCATATATATGCATTTACATATGTATGTACACATGTGTAGCAAAAACGCCATAATCGGAGCGCCAAATATCGAGTGGAATCATTCCAACGGGCCGCGATCACTTGTTGCGAACACTTTAAACGCGTTTTACACATTTTTAAGCCCGATTACCTGAGTAAATTGATTGAATTTATATTGGGCAGCAGCAATGCGTCTGCCGGCAATGCTCCCGAAAAATGCAAAGGCAAGCCGAAAGAGAGGGAGCAAAAAAGAGCGATTCTAACGGTAGTTGGTGTCCCTGCATGTACCTTACTGCGATCCTCTCTTGAAGCTCTCTTTTGGAATGCGCTCTCTGGCCTACGTACACGTAAAAATTACTCTGGCTGTATTTTACGCTTAACCCTAAATAAAGGTTATTATTAAATATGGGAATAAATACTTTTATTAAATATAAATATAATTCATTTATACATTTTATATATACAAAATAATGCTTTTATAAATTGATCAATTATATAAATTTATGGTTTTTATATAAATGGTTTTTTTTTAACTTCGAGATATAACTTCTAATATAGATATATATATATATATATATATCTATATATATAAATATATATAAGGTGTGTGTTGCAGTGTTTTAAGTTATGTATAAGATTATCAAAAAAGGAGGCAAAGCTGAAAATGCAGAAATAGCGAAAGCGGCCACCACTAACCGTTGGAATCGCTCTTTTCTCTCCCCCTCTTTCGGTTCGCTGTTCATTTTAGCGCGCACCGCAAAGCGAGCAGGCGTATTTATTCGGCGCAATAGTGTCATTTTAGGTAATTTCTTATGCTTATCGGACTTGAAAACGCGTGGAAAGTGTTCGTAACAAGTGATCACGGCCCGTTTAACTAATTTTCTCGCGAAATTTAACGTTTAATTAAATTCAATCGAAGGTTTTTTACAAATTGCGCACTTAAAACTGCGTTTTCGCTACACATGCATACATAAATATCTACTTACATACATATGTATATGTGTACGTGTGTAAATGTGCGTGCAATTTGAATGGCAATTGCGTTTTTGTTCTTTTTTGTTGCTCTGATTCTTGAAATATATATTACAATATATTTCAATATATATAAATATATATAAAGTGTGTGTTGAAATGTTTTAAGTTATGTATAAAATTATCAAAAAAGGAGGCCCAGCAGAAAATGCAGAAATAGCGAAAGCGGCCACCACTTACCGTTTGAATCGCTTTTTTTTCTCCCCCTCTTTCGGTTCTCCGTTCATTTTCGCGCGGACCGCAAAGCGAGCAGGCGTATTTATACTGAGCAATAGTGTCATTTTAGTTAATTTCTTATGTTTATCGGACTTGAAAATTGTGGAAAACGCGTGGAAAATGTTCGTAACAACTGATCGCAGCCCGTTAAACTAATTTTCTCGCGAAATTTAACGTTTAAATTCAATCGAAGGTTTTTTACAAATTGCGCACTTAAAACTGCATACATACATATATGTGTACGTGTGTAAATGTGCGTGCAATTTGAATGGCAATTGCGTTTTTGTTCATTTTTTTTGCTCTGATTCTTGAAATATATTTATATATATATAAATATATATAAAGTGTGTTTTGACGTGTTTTAAGTTATGTATAAAATTATCAAAAAAGGAGGCCCAGCAGAAAATGCAGAAATAGCGAAAGCGGCCACCACTTACCGTTTGAATCGCTCTTTTTTCTCCCCCTCTTTCGGTTCTCCGTTCTTTTTCGCGCGCACCGCAAAGCGAGCAGGCGTATTTATACTGAGCAATAGTGTCATTTTAGTTAATTTCTTATGTTTATCGGACTTGAAAATTGTGGAAAACGCGTGGAAAATGTTCGTAACAACTGATCGCAGCCCGTTGAAATGATTCCACTCGATATTTGGCGCTCCGATTATGGCGTTTTTGCATACATACATACATACGTAAATGCATATATATGAACATATATATGTAAGCACATGTGCGTACACATAAAAGTGTTTGCAATTTGAAAGTAAAATGTGTTTTTTTTTCCTCTTTTTTGTTGTGATCATTACTTTAGTAAGTAAAGTGTGTGTTGAAGGGTTTCAAGTAATGAAAGGATAAAAAAAAGGAGCAAAAAAGAGCGATTCTAATGGTAGTTGGTATCCCTGCATGTACTTAACTGCGATCCTCTCTTGGAGCTCGCTTTTTGAATGCGCTCTCTGGCCTAAATATGCGAATAAATACTTTTATTAAATATAAATATTTATACATATTTATACATTTTATATATATTCAAAATAATACATTTATAAATTGATCAATTATATATATGGTTTTTATATAAATGGTTTTTCTTTTATCTTCTAGATCCCGGATAAATGACCCCGCACCCCGCACCCAGCACCAATCACCCAGCGCCGCGTGGTATGTACATACATACTTATATATTAATTTGTAAAGTACATACATTTGTACATATGTACATATGTAGTATGTTAAGTTCTTTTAGTTTCTCACATGAATACACCTTAAGATTGGTTTTATTTATTTCATTCCTTTATCCACCCACGTTCTATGTTCTTAACTATCGATTTGAAGAGTTTTGTTGGAAATCCAGATTGTTGGTGTTTTCCCAAAGGAAACTTTGTACATACATGCATACCATGGTGTCTTTTGCAAATGCCTGATAGAGGATATCCTTTGAGATAACTCAAGGATTCTGTTGAAAGCGCAGCCATCATCGGCCAGCAACTTTCGTCGCCGCTCGGTCATTAGCGGCATTCAATCCTATCTTAATGGGGTCCTCCAACTAAGTTCGGAATGGCAACTCAGCTCGAGAGCAAAGGGTCCAGCACACCCACTTGAGTGGAATGGTGGGGGGGTGTGTGTGTGGGGGGGGGGGGGACTGCTGCTCAAGGATATGGAGATCGGGATGACAGCTGCAGGCGGCATCGGCTGCAATTAGGAGCGGCACAAGTGCTTCCAGATGACCATCGTAAATTATGTAGACGCGGCGGGCGTAACCCAAACATCCAAAACATGGAAATCAAATTTCGATGGGCCAGCGCACAGAGTGTATGTGCATATGTATGTATGTTGACCACTTGAAAGTATTGAAATTCCGGGACGGCAGGCGCCTGTGGGCGTGTCCTGCAAGGACTTGTGCCGCAGGGATAAATCAGCCGTGGACAGCCTGCACTTGCACGCCAACTCTAAAAACTCTAAAAAATAATTAAAGGCTCTTGGACACTCGACCCAGGATAATGACAGCCATTGTAATGCGAGACGCAACTTCTCCTGCACCTCCTGCTCATTCTTGTTAGCGTTTTTCCTTTGAATTTGCGCCGCAAACTTTTGTTTATTTGTTTTGTCAACATTTCGGGATCTCTATTCTTTTTTTGTTTTTTTAGAAGTCGTCTTGGGTTTCGTAGCAAGTTTCGTATTCGTATTCGTTTCGTTTCGTTTCATTTCGTTTCTTTTTTTTTTTTTGGGAAAATCAGGAAATGCAACTCAATCAAAGCAGAGAATCCATCCATCCGGCCGTCCATCGACTTGTGTGGCTTTGCTCACACGCATTTTTCACGCTAAGCGATCGGCTCTTTATTGGCCTCAAAAAAAAAAATGAAGAAAATACATACATAAGGCCAACGGAAAAAGGGCCCTCAATTTGTCATGCTCGCCGGTGGATTTCATCCTGTTTTCATTTTCATTTCAGTTGCGTAATGAATTTGTTTTAACCGAGGAACTGCCGTGCAGTGTCATACACACTTGTGCTTAATTCCATAGAATTGGCTGCATTAGATATTAATTATATAGCAGCTTATTGAAAAACTTGCTTTTATTTTAATTTATTATATGCAATATTGTATATATTGATTTGTTTATTTTTTTGTATCTGTACTTTTTTTTTCCTCTCGTCTCGCACGACTTTTTACAAGTGGTGCTAGTACGCTGAACACGACTGTGGTTGTGGAATGAACGCTCTCTCTCTGCATGTGGCGCTTTTCATTGGATTTTCATTAATTTGAGCCGTGTAGTTTTTCCTTCCCGCTGCTTTACTTTTTTTTTTGTTTGTTTGATGCTGTTGCTTTAGTTGTTGTAATTGGTGGTGCTGTTATTGTTGTTGTTATTGTTTTGTTTCTGTGGTTGTTGTTTTTGAAGAGGGCGCGTAATTGATTTGTGGTTCATGCATCCTAAGCAAACAAATTGGATTTGCAGCGGTTGAGCGGTGAGTTTCGCTGAAAATTTGGTAGGCAAATCAGCGAAAATCACAAAAATCGGGCGGGAAAGGTTTGAAAATCAGCGGGTGACCATAGCAAAAATGTGTTAAAAGAATCGTTGATATTTTAGAGCAGAAAGTAGAAACCAATAGACGTATGTATGCATATACATACAATTTATTTATAAATGGATGTTACCTTTAATGGGAAACTAATCAGTACCCAAAAAATCGAAGCTATGAACCGTGAAACCTCGTGATACTTTCTCATACTTCTGCGAATCCCATCTAAGCTGCGATTTTGAAACGTATTCGACATAAAAGTGCCCCAAACAAATTATAATCCAATTATTGCTCGCACCAGCCCCCTCGATGGCGAGCCATCCATTATGAGGGTCCTTCCACTACAGTATTGCCACCCTATAAGCCACGAATCCAAAACCGTTCCATCAATCATCCGTCCAATCAAATTCGCCGACTCATTCGAGTGACTTTGGTGTGTTGCTTTTGACACATTTCTCGAGCGCCAAATCGATCATTATCAGCAAAAATGCCGTCGTCGCAAACGCCCCACAAAACTAAAATAAAAACAATATACATACATGTGCATGTATCTGTAGCGAACTAAAAAGATAAACGATACAGCTGAAAAAATACCCTTTGATATAAACATCTTTCAAATAGTTTGATTTTACAGCAATAATTAGCTTAGACTTTGCTACCTATGTGAATAACTTTGCAACTTTACAACTCGACTCATATACCCTATGTTTAGGGTATTGGCCTCAGGTGATTATTGAAAAATCACAAAAGGAGCGAACGATCTGTGGAAAGTAGTGGGCAGCTCATTTGGTGCCCTGATTTGGTCATTTGGCGATTTGGCGCCCATTTCGTTCGTCTTGATTCGCCCCGTGTGCAAATTAAGTTTTATTAATTTAATTTTTTAACGAGCCACAATCCATGCCACGATTTATGAACCCGAATTATATATTGAGACATACTCGTATGGCGTACGGATTTTGCGGCTTATTTATATCTAATTTCGTTCAGAGAAGGCATCGTAATGACCGCTGATGAGGTGTTTATGACCGCGGCCAGGTATCTCGGGTATTTTGCATTAGTCACGCTTATTGTTTGCAGCCGAAACGGGGGCGTTTCTTGGTTTTCGATTATGGGTTATATACAGGCTTTATAGGCTTTATAGGTCGCAGATCGGCGTTACCTTTTGTCTTTGCGCCGCATTTGCCGCCTTCAATCTTCCAGCAGTCATTAGATACAGAGAAACGGCTCTAAAATGGAAACGCAAGATGAAACTGAAAACGTGAGAAATTGATTTCGATATGCTGGCGGCGAATGAGTCGCCGGAAGCCCATCTTTTAGCTCTGGCTTACAATCACATGCAGGTTGCCTTTGGGATATACTCGTACAGTAGGTAACATACATATTTATATGAGCTTTTAAGTGGCGCGCAGTCATGCAGACAAAAGAAATTACAATATACCAAAAAAAAAAACTTCTACACAACTGCCAAGGATTTTCGAAACTCATTTTGTCAAGACCCCATCGAATTCCATCAGTGAAAGTGCTTTGCGATGAAAGCACGAGAATTACTCGCACCCATTTGTGCGAATTGGTATAATGGAGCGCTGTGCAGGAATGCCCTAATCGGGCCACTGAATGCGGCCATCTATCTATTTGGCCAGGCCAAATAGCCCAGTCTACACACAATATACACACACACGCATACCCACACCCACACCCACGAAATACTGGCCACTTAGCGGAACTCGAACTATAGCGGCGCCCAAAAGTGCAGTGCGGAAATCAAACAATGCCATTAGGCTAATAATTGCCGCTCGTTATTGTTGTAATTGTCGGCATGAAGGCTCTCTAGCTGCCAGCCCGACTAAACGTATTAATTAAGCTATTTATCTAAACTAATGCGAGCATTTAGTGGCCAAGACAAGAAGCAAATTGCACTCATTAGTCCCACAGTCCAGCAGTCCGGCAGTCCAGCACTCCAGTCTTCGATGAGCCGGCCAATCGGTTTTTCTCCCAGAGATAATTGGCCCGGATAAGTAGCAAGTGGCCACTGCCATTGCCACGGCCACGGGTATTGAGGAATGTTTTCGGGCCAATCGGATTGGGCCAATATCGTCACTAGCCGCCGGAGCGATCAGCTTTGGATGCGGCAGCGCTGTATCATCATTAAAGCCGCTCCCTGCTCTTAAAAACGGTACTGGGAACACGCCGCAGTGCACTTGAAAAAACATTTAGTTTGATAACTCCAGAAAGCAGTGCTGGCACGCGAATTCTTTAGCCACTGCTTTGTGCGCTTTAAAGCCTACTTAAGCACTCGTTTCACCAACAAGACAGTTATTAAATTCTAATTTCAGGGCATTCACATTCGAGTTGAGGTTTTTATCACAGTGCAGCTTATCGGCTGCCGCGTCATTAGCTTGATTATGATTATCAATGAGCACATCGCCAACGCCGTCGCCGTGCCACATTAAATAACACAAGAACTTGTCTTTGTCTTAAAACTGAAACTGGAACTGGAACTGAAACTGAAACTGGAGCCAGGGCTCTTTCCTGCCCTTTTAACTTGGCTTTTAACTTGGCTTTGGCTTTGGTTTTGGCTTTGGTCTTTGTCTTTGGACTTGGACTTACTCAACTGACCACTGAACTTATTCCACAAATTAATCGTTGGCCACGAGAAGGAGTCCAGTGGCAGCCCCTTGAACTTGGCCGCACAAATTGCTCGCTATAAATACGAAAATCGCATATCCTTTAGTAAGTTATTCAAAAAAGTAATAGTTCTCTAGGCAGGAAAACCACCAATTCAATTTCTTCATATCAAGTGGCATTTTAGTTAGTCTAAAATGTTGAATTTAGCTAGTTCTTTTGATTTCAGGGTATTTGAAATTCACTAGAACCCCGCTATCGTTTTAATTTTCGTTTTTTAGGGGGTTTGTAGCTCGTTCTCTGATGATTTCAAAGATCTGGGATCTCTGGTTTCGAGATCTGGTGCGGTTGATAAAAGCGATTGGCTTCCCAGGCGGCGTGACAAATTGCTGGGACCCAGGTTTCAGATTGGTTTTTATGGCTACGCTCGGTCGCTGGGTTTCACCAGCTCTAATCATTGTGATTAGCATAATGATGTTGTCGCGTAGGGCGATGTACATACATATGTATGCACACATAT